GGGGGGCAGGGCAGGGGTGCTGACAACTTGAGCCGCAGCCACCAAATCCGCCAGGGTCCGTGGTGCTGGCAGCACTGCAGCTCCTTGCAAATGGAGTTTCTCTTGCCTCAGCACACTACGGTCTCCCTCGTCCCCGATCCACGAGGAGGATGAAGAGAAGCTCTCCGAGGACTCGGACTCGCAGCCAGCGCTGAGCGGGGGTGAGCTGGTCCTGAGAGAGACCAGCTCTCCAGAAGTAAGTGTGGTCTGCTGGGGAGCTGCTTTGAGCCAGAGCTCTTGGGGGGGGAGGAGGGCTTCTTCTGGGACACGGGAGATGCCATGTGAAGGGCCATCGCTTCCTCAGTGACAGGGTAAAGATGAGCTTGTTAGCATGAGTGGCCTGGAGCCAGCAGTCTTGGCTGCCTTGATTTAGTCATCGGGCTCCATGGCAAAGCACATAGCTGCTCCGTGCGCTCCTAACACCTCTTTGGGAGCTGGGGCGTTGGAAGGCCACTGGGCTAGAGCCATGTCAGAGCTGACCTTCCCCCAGCTTCCTGGGCGAGCCGGGCAGTGTTTGGGGCAGGGGTGGCAGCTGGGCCTTGCTGGGCTTCCAGCACCATTGCCTGTAAGACCCCTCCATTCCCACCCATGGTGCCACAGGGCTGGTGGGTGGCCCCTTGTTCCCTCTGGGAAACATGTCCCTGGCCTTGACCACAGCTCTCTGGAGAAGGTCAGAGCAGGAGACAAGTGCAGCAAAGGCCTCCAGAAGTAACCTGTGCTGTTTCTCCTTACAGAGCATGGCAGGGGAAGAGATCGAGGAGGCCTCATCCCTGCAGCAGGGTAGGTGTGCACTTGGCTGTGGGGGCGGCCAGACCTTGTCTTGGTGTGGGACCAATAGATCTGCTGTGGTGGGATGGGGGACAGTTGGGAAATGAACATACGAGTTCAGAAACATCCAGCCCCTGAAGTCCATCTCTGAGCTGCTTGTACTTCACCAGAGAAAGGTGCTAGGGTCTCTCCTGGGAAGCGGGGAAGCAAAATCAACAGATGTCCCTGGTTTATTTGCCAAGCATCGCTCCTTGCTGTTAAGCAAGTACACAAGTAGAGCTTTCCATGCCATGGGCTGTCTCCTCACATGGCTGATGGGGAGATGGCTGCGTGCACCACTGGGGTCCTGGTGAGAGTGTGAGCACAGTACTGGGCGTGCAGGATGTGCCCCGTGTCTTCGGGATGGGTCTCTGGTGCTCGGTCAGCACCCAGAGGGCATGAGGATGGGGTGAGAGGGGAGTGCTGGGTGCATTTTGGGGCATGAGCCTGCAGATGAAAAGGTGGTCCTTTGACACTGTGACCTGGGCCAGTCTAACCAGCTTTCCTGAGGCATCTGGGGGGACACGGGGAGCTTCCTCACATGAGAAACCTCAACCCATCCTGGCCGCCTGCCCCTGCAGAGCTGGTCTGGGGACTGAGGGGCTGCGCTTTCGGCTGGTTCTAGGTAGCCGCCCACCCTCCGTTGAAGACGTCCTGCAGGACGGTAGCTGCGGGGAGCACAGGAGCCTGACGCAGTCCGAGAGTGACCCTCCGGTAGACGTCTACCTGCCAGGTAACGGCCGCGCCGTTGGGGTTGGAGGTGCGCTGCCAAGCTGCTGCACTTGCAGCTCCGGTTCAAGGCACTGAGGAGCCCGGGCAGGTTGCGGACTGTGCCTGACCATGGGCAGCCTCCCTGTCCGGGGCGGAGTGCTGCAGCCTTGGGATGGGACGGGGATGTACCTGCCCGGAGCACAGGCTCCTGCTTCGTCCCAGTGGGCAGGGCGAGCTGTGGGCGAGGGGGGCTAACACAGAGTTAACTCCCCCCCCCCCTTCTCTCTCCTCCTCCCTCACCCTTTTGTCTCTGTCCTTCCCCTACTTTCTCCTCTCCAGTCTGCGGCCGCTCGATAGCACAGTTTATGTGACAGTGGCCTCCCGTGCCTTCCCCCAAATCGCACTCCTGCTTTTGGCAGAGGGAGGGGAACCATCTGGGCTGGCTTATGGGAGACTGAGCCAGTGTGGGGGGCAGTGGGCACCCCTCTGCCGCGGGGCGATGTTGCGGTGGGGAGGGCCAAGGGGTGCTGTGCTTTGCTGGCCACCGCAGCCGTGGGATGCTGCACTGTCCTCACCCCCAACTGTTGTCGTTGCAGCCTGTTTTCTTCCGTAGAGTTGCAGTCTGTTCTGAGTACCTCTCTAATGTCTCCTTCCCTCTCTGTCTGCCTTCCTCCCTCCTGTCTTGGGCAGCACTGGGTCCCGATTCCTGCTCTATTGGTATAGAGGAGTAAGCTGGTACGTCTTCTCGTTCTTCTTATGCATTGCTGTTGTGTGGGGCAGCAGGACCCCTCCCGGGAAGGCCAGGAGAGAGCGGGGATGGGTCTGATCCTGGCCAGTGGGGTAGGGAAGGAGAGGGGGCAGCAAACCATCCAGCCTGCGCTGCTGGCTCTGTCCTGGCTCCCTTCCCATTCCTGGCACCAGCATCCCTGTGCCCCGTGGGGGTCCCTGCTGTCCCCGAGTGCCAGGACCCCAGGCCAGGGCAGCAGAAGGCTCAGTCCTTCCCACTTGGCTTCTGCTGAGCTCCTGGGTGAGGGCTCTGCTGCCTGGTGGGCACCAAAAACATCTGTCTGGCTTCTCCCAGGCCGGTGGCAGATAGCGTGTCCCCTTTGTGTCCCACCCCTGGCGCTTGCTGAACCTGCATCTTAGCAGGGGCAGAGGTCTCCTGTGGTCAGTCCAGGGTAGGAGGGAGTGGAGGGGGTGCTGGTCTCCTTGGCCCACGCTGCCCTGTCCCCAGGGCCTGGCGGCTCTTAGTCTGCCCCCCAGGGTTGGCGTTATTGGGGCTGAACCCCCTTTTCTCCTCACTCAGGCTCATCCGACTTCACCAAGACGCTCCCCGGCCGCGGCACCGGCAGACCCACGCAGCCCCTTCTCTTCGAGCAGACGCGTCTTCACCTGGAGGACGAGCAGAACCTCTTGTGAGCGGGGCCGGACCTCCCTGCCTGCCGGACTCCCCCCTAAACGTAGTGTTATTACGTGGGGTGTGGGAGGGTGGGGTGGGGTTTTGGGGTTAAAAAGCAGCAGATGAAGGACACTACCGTTGTATATTTTGTACACACCGAGCACAGCCCTTTGCTGTCACTGCCCCTGTACATAGCCTTGCCGCAGGGCTCCCTGACGGGGGGGTGGCGTGGGGGTCAGCCCCGGCCCACCCCGTCCGGGGTGGGCCGGG